TATAGCATGGCCAATAAAAAAGTCCATTCACTGTAAACCTATCTAGCTATTTTTATTCACCTTTAGGTGAGCAACAATAATATGTAGAGCTCTTTTTGAAATTCCTTTCCGTTGCTGCAAAAAATTCATTTTTTCCACATTAGAGGCAAAAAGTCAGAATTCTGCTCGTAATTCTCAATTCTCTCAGTCAGGACTCAATTTTTATATAATGAAAATATTATATTCGAAATTACGATACCCAATTTTTGAGATTATTCAAAACACCCTCAGGTGTTGCCTAAAATTTTGAACGGAAAGCATCATTCACAAAGCCTAACAACACCGCATCATTGAACGTGTTCGTATTCAATAATTCTAATAATTTATCATTTCTTGAATAATGCCCGTCGTTTGTGATATAGTACTCAGTGGATGATTGACAGTTTGTATTTCTTAACGATATTTGAAATTTACAATTTAATGTAGATTAACAAGCATCACCAGAAGGATGTCAAATAGTGAAAATTTTTTTCTGATCGTTTAAATAATGTATTAATTATTTGACGTAGTTGATCACGCGATAGAAAATCAAAATTTTTTTTTCCATTTATCAAATCATCTAATGATTAATGATCGACGAATTTTATCATAATGCATTTCATCTTCAATTGGTGGTATCGATTATTGTGCGATAATATTGACAGTTTCTTGAAGTGTCTTCATATGATTATACAAATACAATCGTTCTTGGAATATTATCATCGAATGCCGTGTATCATTCAATTCTTCAACAACAGCATTTCCAGTGTCCGTCAATGAAATGATATTTGCCACTGTTGACTGTAAGATATTGTCATTAGATAGAATATGGTCTAACATTGGCTGTTGAGTGTCTTTTATACTTGCTATTTGCATCGTATTATATGCAGACGTACCTAGTGCTGCAACAGCACGATTTCTTCAACGATTTCTATTCGACAACGAACAATCAAACATCAACTCACCATAGCATCGTTACATTACATTGTGCTTCTCTAAACATATGCTGGATGGAAAGACGGTGGGTGACTCTAGAGCCTTGGTGCCTGGCGTTTCCTTTCGTGGTCGGTCTAGTGGCTCCCTTGAAAGCATAAGAACTTCAACGATTTCCTTGTACTTGTGGTCGACGTTTCAGAGTGGTGTGACTGTGATTCCTTGGTGGGTCTCAGAACTACCTGGTTTAGGAGCCTCTGCACGAAGTGATTTTCTGAAGTTGTTTAGGTGTTCAAGAGACCATCACCCTCACCTTTCTTCCATTGTCGAATGTGCAGATCATAATCGGCAACATTGAATGATGATTGTACAATGCGGTGCGTATGCACCTTTTCTTACTTTGAACCCTTTGAGATAACAGGGGCTTTGAACAACTCTTTCGAATCTTTTGCCGATCTAGATAACTAGCAAAGGTGTAGCTCGAAAATCTGATCTCATCAGTGCTTGCAGTTATATATCGGGTTTAAAATGGAACAAACCCGAGCTCTTAAGTTTGAATTGCCAAGGAGAAGGACCTGGAGTTGTCAAGTTAAGTAAAGCCAAGTCTGTATTTTGCGGAACTCCAGGAGTTCACAAAACGTTTACAAAAGACAATGCATAGTATACGACGGGCAAATACCGTGACACCTTCAAAACTCAGTTAATCAATAAATAAATACACACAGAAAAGAATAACTTAATAATATAATCAAATACGACTAACTTTCTCAGTGAACTTGATTAATAAATATTTTTAATGACAAAAGAAAACAACTAATGTAGATCAACGATAGATTTAAATCATTGCAGTGCTAAATCCCGCTGGAACATCCTATAAAAAACTGTGTGACTATGCGGAAGAGTCAGAGTCGAAGACAAACTATTCCATTCTCTAATAGTTTTTGAGAAACAAGATTCGTCAGCTGCTTTAAGATTATAGTCTGGTAGAACAACACGGCCATTACGCCCTCTTCTCAAAGTTACGTAGTATTTAGTAGTTGCCATGGTGTAAGAGCAGAAATAGGAGCTTCTTATGATAAATTTTATGAAAGTATGTAAGATGGTGATATTTACGACGAATAGACAAAGAAGTTAATTTTACCTTTTGAAGAAGAAAGCCGGTAGAAGACGAATAAGTTTGAAGAATCACTTGTTAGGCTAAACGCTGAACTTTATCTAAAATTTTTAGGAGAGAAGAAAAGTTAGAGTAGAACATAATACAGCAATACAGGTCTAATACACATTGTATATAAGTGAAGTCTAAGAATGTGATAATAATTTCAGCTGTTTTGAACTTCATACCTTTATTTGTTAATATTTCGACCTCTAACAGGTCATTTTCAAAACATGAACAGATTAACTGTACAGATAATGGAAACAACTGCTTTTTTCTCTACTTTTACCACGAAATACAATAGAACGAAAAAGAGAAAATTCAAGACTAGGTCGATACTAACTTTATATATGCGCATATATAAAAAAATATATCAGTGACCACGTTATCAGTAGAGTGATGTGTATGTATTTCTTTTTATTTGTATTTTTCACAACTGACTTTTTCTGATGGTATGAGTCTTCCATCTCCAAATGCTTTCTTTTTCTCTACACCGTCTGGAAAGACATAAAGAGGAACTGATCGATCTGTTCCATTAAGAACTGGCGCTTCTGATCTGATTAAGAGTACTTCTTTAACTAGTAATCGATATTTGTGTTGTTCTGAGAGTAAAGAGAGTTCTTCATCATGTCCTGTATTTTTATAGTGTTTTGCAACAGCTGATTTTGCCTGCGGTTCTGTAACGGTGTTAGTTGTATTGATATTTACCAGTGTACTAAAGGGATCTTCTTGATCAATTTTTAAAACAATCCTCTGAATTTTGCTAGTTTGTGATCGTGTTACGGGTCCTTGTCTAGAGATGGTCGTAACAGGTCTTTTCGATACTGTTACTTGTTTCGAGATATTTTTTGGCACGAGTTTTATCTGAGATAAGATAATTTTTTCTTGATCTTTCAGGTATCCATTAACATGTGTTTTTAAATGACGACACGTTTTTCCAATGTAAGTTTCTCCGCATTCCGAACATTTAGCTTCATAAATGAGAAAAGTATGACAAGATCAGCGGTCTTAATCATTTTGAATTTTCAACGTTTCGATTTATTGAAAAGTCAAAGGATCATTGTCAAAGGATAGAAACAGAAAACAGAAAGATTTTCTTTAGAGACTGAAGAAATAATTATATTTATATACTGTACAGTTCTCTCTCTGAAGATATTTTTCTTTTTACTATCTAACCTTTCTTTTCTAGACCATAAAATAGAAAGAAAAGAATTTTGTTACACAATTGTGTTGCTGTGTGTGTATTTCGAGTCTTTGACTATAACATCTCTTTGGTTTCTTCGAGGTATAACGTACGTAGTGTCCATGCCGTGTATATAAGATATAACACGATCTGGTGAAGGTTCAACTATACAAGTTGAAATAGATCAATTTTTAGTAAAGAAAATGATTCATTATACGAATGAAACAAATGTGTCAATGTTTCAGTTGTGTCTTGGTGATTGTTCATAAAAAGCATTTATTTTATTTTCGAAATAAAATCATTTCTAACGTATATTTTTAATTTTTTAAGAGGAAAAAAATAGCCGAAATCTTTCTCTCTAGTAAATAAATGACATGATAATCGAATAGTGTTCTACCTGCTATTACTTACTTTTAAATAAAATTGCAAATAATGAAAAAGATCTATGTGTTAGTTGTGTCTCATCGAATCGTTATCGATCAGAGATAGAATCATTAATTGGTAATACAGCTAATACTGTACCTTATTATTTTAAATTAAATAAAGAGAAAAATTTAGTCGAAATACATGATTGTAATATTAAAGTGAAACAACACTGAACAAACATCTTTTAACCATCATTTTAGAAAACAAAGACAGGAAAGGGGAAAAGCTAGTGCGTCTACTGCTATGCATTGAAAGGGATTTGTATGCCGTTAAAAGAATTATGAATTATATCTAAGAACAATGCTCGCAGTTAACGTTTTAAGTCAGAATTATATTCAGCAAACTTGAAGATTATTCATTTAATTTAACCATTATCCATTATAGTAACGGTAGCGCTAAATTGTCACCGTTATCGGAGTAACGGGGGTAACGGTTCATTTCCTAATGGGAACTACATGCATATTCTTGGGTGACAGTATGTGTTTTTGTATGCATTTTTAGCTCCGGAAAAACTCGACTGGCGCTATAGTATATGCGGAACTGAAGAGATGTGAACCGGGAAATTAGTGTTTCAAATTTCACGATCTTTTTGCGAGTTTCGACTTGAAATTTATGCAGAAGATAAATGAAGGTGGAATGCACTTAAATGTACAATCTCTCACAGATTTGTAGATTTAACTTTCTGCTTTGATTTGAAACTACGTACACCTTCGCACTCCTTCTGAAAAGAAGGTCGTCATAATTTTAGTGAGAGCCTCATTTTGTCGGTTCTTAGAATGACCCTGTTACGCTTCCATCATTCGAACTCAAATATTCAGCGTAATCTGGTTAGGTGGTACGTATTAACGGAAATGTCTGAGAAATACATGTTTTTCTGAATATGAGCTTCATTAGAATAGAAAATAGTTCAAATAGCAAGAAAGGAAGGTCAAGCAATCAGGTACAGCAGACATTGAAATATAGTGGAATATGTTAACAAAAGGTATTGTTAGTGCTGCTATTGTTAATGCTATACACAGAGCTTATTAAAAGTGGGTTATTGGTTTTTGTTCGTGAAACATATTTGTCAAAGACGATAAGTCACAAAATCCAAATCTAGTTTTTTGAAAGAAAAAAAACACGAAAGGGAATTGGACTGAGTTTTTAGACTTTGTTTTGATATGTTTCTTTAAATGTTAATTTGTACTAAACTGAATAGAAAAAGAGGAAAGCACGACATGCATAGAAGTTTCTTTTGTCTATACGGCGCACACAATAATGAACTGTAGCAAAAATTTATGTAATTGTTTATCGTATCTCTGACAATAAATCAGCATGTTCTTTAATCGTTGTTTGTTTGAACAATTGTCCAATATTTTTATTATAGGAATATTTAGATTGATATTGAGAGTAGAGTTTCATCAACTGGAGTGAATTACCACCTAATGAAAACAAAGATGTTTTGATTGATATTTTATCTAATTTTAATAACTGACACCATATTTGATGTACATCTTTCTCGATCTCTGTCTGTGGTTCTTGATATTTATCAATATTGGCTAGTTTATTAAAATCCGGTTTAGGCAATTGTTGGCGATCTAATTTTCCATTTGAATTGAGAGGAAACTGTTTGAGAAAAATAAATGTGGATGGAATCATATATTGTGGTAAATGTTCTTTACAATATTTTTTCACTTGTGTGTCATCAGTTTCCAAAGATTCTATATAAGCTATTAAATGATCATTAATTTTCATAACAACACATTTATGAATTGTGGATGGTGATGATTTCATCGTCACATGCTCAATCTCACCTATTTCAATACGTTGACCACGAAGTTTTACTTGAAAATCTTTTCTACCTACGAAGTGTATTAGTCCATTTTCGTCTAATCGGCATACGTCGCCTGTTTTATAACATTTGTTTTTAACATTAGGTATGTTAACTAGTACTTGTTCAGTCAAATCTGGTCGATATAAATATCCAGCAAAAATACTAGATCCGTCAATATATAGCTCACCAGTAGATCGAACAGGTACTGGTTCCAAGTAATCATCTAGCAAATGACATCGATAATTTTGTAGTGGACGACCAATAGGAATAGATTGAGTCTCATGTGAGCTGGTGATTAAATAAGAAGACATTCAAGTATTAAGTAAAAAACTTTTGGTAGCCTGCTAGTGATCACTTCGGATGATAGTTAGTTACACAGTTTTAAACAGTTTAGGCTTATAATTAGCATTTCTCAGATGAAAGGTTTGTTAACTGGTATGACGATCGAATATCGATGATCATGATTATGAACACTTAAAAAATATTTAGTTTTGTTTCAAGTGAACCTTTAAGTCGTTGTTCTCCAGCTTCTTGGCACTTGAAAACAATGATCTAATTTTTTATCCGACATGGAACATTGATAAACAAATCCGTGTACGTTTGCTGGGATGTAGCTCATAATGTTTCGGATATGATCTTCCGAAGAAAAGAGACTCTGAGCTTTTTATAATAACAAGCTTCTTTAAAATTCTGCTCTGACTGACCTGAAACTTTTAGCCGCTAACTCCAAGAGATAGATATAGCTAGTCCAAACTAGAAGAAACGAAGACAGAAACGAAATACAAGGTTTTTCTCATAATGCTTCTCGTAAGTGATTCAGGACAGTAATACTTTTGATGTCATAAATATTGCAAAACGGATCTTGTACACGAACTTCTCTAAAAGTCGCGCAAAACAGCCCAGTTTTCTTTAGCGGGAGCGGTAAAGCTATCGTTTCAATGCAGTTTTGTGTGGAAAATCAAATTTACAGAGTTAAAAAGCTAGCTTTCTGATCCAGATTTAAATTTTTTATGACAAGCACTGTGTAAAGAATAGCATGATCTTTTAATATTTCATTTCTTGTATTAGACCTCAAGCAAAGATGGTAAAAGTAGAAAGTTTCTACTTTCTACTTTTACCATCTTTGCTTGAGGTCTATTATTTGCTCTTAGCACTAAAATTCTTAAAGATATACAAGTCAAAAGAACGAGAATAACTGTGCAAAAAGCGAAACAAATAAACTACAATAATTTTTGAACATTTTAGAAAACCATCCAGACTTGTAGCTGTCGTTGTTTTAGAGAAATATCAGCCATAAGTTTATACGAAAATGTATGATAAACTTTGTTACTTACTATCGATCAGGCCCCAAATTGTTTTCCTGTTTTGCGATTTTTCTTCTTGAGCTATAGGAAAAATAAAAAAGATTCTGCAGTTACAATTCTCTACCTTCAGCATCTTACAACTCTATAGAGTGAAAACTCAAAAATAGATAAAAAGAACATCAGACATTATTTGATTATCATAAAATTATCGAATAGTGGGAAAAATTTTCAAATAGAATTTTTCAGTTCAAAGTAAAAAATCATAAAAACATCATCTCTTTGTTAACAGAAGATTGTGAGGAAGCTAGAAATACATGCATTAACCCGTACCATACACGTGAGAAAAGTCATGTAGCAAAAAGTGACAGCGTGATACTTAAATAGTCTCTAAGTAACAGCACCAATGGTACACTCAGCAGGACCATAAAAGTTGTAGATATGGCAAGTTGATTTGAGATATTTAACTAATTTACTTATGACTGTGCTTAATACAGGTTCACCTTAAACAGTATAGTATAGTCAAATAAATAGAATTTATCTGCTATCTAATTTCTTACCTCCTGTCAAAATACATCTTAAACTCTTCAAAACATCGTGCATACTGTTATCATCATTTTCGTCGAGATAATGACATGCTGCAACTATCATAGATGGGACGAGAAACATGGATGAAACCATTTGATTTTTTATTATATTCAGCCAATAACAAACATCGAAATGACCGTTAGGATGAGGTATGTTTAAAGTTAAACCAGTGGATAATGATCCTAAAATCTCTATCAGATGGAAATCAAATGAACATTGTGAAATTTGAATATAAATGTCTGTTGAAGTCATAAAATTTGAATGCTGCATGGCAGTTTTGATTACAAGAAAATTACGATGTGTAAACTGAGCCTAAACGGACAAAACATACTGATACAGTTCATTCAAACGATTAAATTTGTCGATAGAGAGTTCTAAAGTGTTTGTTGATTTGATGCTAAGATAAACAGGCGATAAATCGATAGTTGCAACTAGAAGAAACCTAGCAATCACTAGATCTTCACTGTCGGTACTCAATAGTTGCAATTGAGTAAAAATCTAGTAATCTAGATGAATCGGACGATGATAGATATATTTTTTCACGTCTGGGTTCAGAGCACAGATGTGTACGACGCCCTTACTCTAATCGTGTAGGGGTGAGTAGTATAGGGCAAGGACTTCATTTAAACAGATACATCGTCGCTACAGCATTGAGATCGATCATTAGCCATAGTTGTCTTATCCTAATTTTAAGCCACGTTTGGACGCAAGACACTCAAATACTCACAGCTTTTGGAATCCCAGTTGAACCAGATGTAAAGAGCACATAAGCAATTTTGTCAATATTTGTTTGTACACTTGAAAGATAATTAAAATCTCTATATTCTATAGAATCACCTGCTTGTGAAATAATTTGATTGATATTTATCAAATCAACAACAGCCTCGTTTATACAAAATTTTTCTTTTGTAAATTGATGAACAATGATATGATTTGATTGACTATCTTGTAGTAATGATTGAAGTCGAGCGGATGGATCTTGAGGATTGAAAGGAGCATAGATAGCTCCACAAGTTATAATTGATAAAATTCCAATTGACATTTCAATTGATCGTTCTAAACATTGACATATAATTTGCTGTGGTCTGACATGATGGACTTGTATTAACTGTACTGATACTAATTGAACATAGTAAAGTAATTCTGAATAAGTAAGAGATTGTTCATCTAATATAACAGATACTTTTTGTGAATAGTCAAGAACACGATCAACAAACAAATGATGTATACATTTTAGCTGATCTCGACCATAATCAACATGTGTCTGATTTATATCATATAATAATTGTCTTTCAAATGGTAAGATGAGAGAAAGTTCATAGATTGGTTGAGTTTGTTTATTAAATAATGAATTAAATAATTGTTCAACTAATTGTTCAAATCGTTGAGAAATTATTTCTATTGTTGAATGATTAAATACATCATGAGAATAATTAAATGAATAATGAAGTTTTTGTTCTTCTGTATCATAATTTATTATTAATGTAAAATCAAATTTTACTGATTGTCTGATTAAATTTAATGATTTTTGATCAATTAATTTTGACATTGATGTTTGATCGTTTAAATATATATTATTATCCAATGTTGTTTCAAACGATAATGTTGCATCTACATATGGTAAAAATATTGCCGACGTTCTTTGATGTGCATATAATTTTAATATTTCTGAATATGGTAAATATGAGTAATTCATTATATCTAAACATAAGTGTTTTACTTGTTTCAATAATTGTTCAAATGTTTTCTCTGGATTTAATTTAAAATAATAAGGTACAGTATTAGCTGTATTACCAATTAATGATTCTATCTCTGATCGATAACGATTCGATGAGAGACAACTAACACATAGATCTTTTTCATTATTTGCAATTTTATTTAAAAGTAAGTAATAGCAGGTAGAACACTATTCGATTATCATGTCATTTATTTACTAGAGAGAAAGATTTCGGCTATTTTTTTCCTCTTAAAAAATTAAAAATATACGTTAGAAATGATTTTATTTCGAAAATAAAATAAATGCTTTTTATGAACAATCACCAAGACACAACTGAAACATTGACACATTTGTTTCATTCGTATAATGAATCATTTTCTTTACTAAAAATTGATCTATTTCAAGTTCTATAGCTGAACCTTTACCAGATCGTGTTATGTTTTGTATATTCGAATCATATGGTAATTCTAATCGTTTATCTAAATTGTATCCATTTAATAATGTTGTCCAATATTTTCTTGCTTCACTCATATCCATTTGTCGTTCATACTGAGAATAATCAATATATTTTAGATCGTTGCTATTTTCATGCAATTGACCACTTGTATAAGCAAATTCGAATTCATTTATGAATAGTTTTATTGCAATAACATCAAATGCACAATGATGAAAATTAAATAAAATATAATCATTTTTCAACAATAGATCATCATCGTCATACTTGTAAATGTTGTTTTGACGACCACTAAAACCATTTTCAATTATTTTAATACAATGACATCCAAATACTTGTCCTTCTTCTAAATTAAATAAAGTTCTATTCGTTTCTTTATTTTCAGTTAATATTACTTTCAATTCTTCGGTTTTTTTCGAAATAAGTGTATGTTGAAATGAATAATATTCTTGATTTGTTGATGTTATAGGTAATATAATTTGTTTTAAACGTTCTTCCTCATAGTCATATTTAAGTGCTGTTCGTAATACTGAATGTTTTGAAATAATTAATTGAAATGAATGACGTAAGCGTTTAATCGAAATAGGCGATAATGCTATTTTATACAATATAGGAAGATTATAACCAGCTACTGATTGTTGCGTATTTTTATGATCGTAACCAAATCTAAATTGTTCATCCAACCATATACGTTCTTGCATATAAGATGCTTGACCTATAAATAAAAAAAATGATGAATAAAACAAGCGTATAATTCTATTTAAAACTATTAATGATTTGACAGATGATGTGAATTTCCTTTAAAAGACTATGTTCATATGAAGTCGAAATAGATTTGGCTGGAGATTTTTTGCAGACGAGTTGAAGAAAAATCTTTTTTGCAAGTTACTTATTAGCATAAGGACATGACTAATTCGAAAATATCTCTTCTCAGGTCTTTT